TTTGGGATGGCTTCTCTTATTACCGGAGCTCTATGTGATTCTATAATGGTGAGGCATTTTTCCTCACCGGTGGGTTCGGATGACGTGGGTCTTTCGGTCGGCCATGCTGACGGTTCTTTGTAAAGAAACGATGGGCCGTTGTACCACTCGTGGTTCGAGTCGAAGTTCGGTGGTACGTCCCTCGTAGCGGTGTCAGCTATGTTTAGTTTGCGGCGCCAGCGCCAGTCATCCACTTTAGTATGGTCATCTATGCTTTCCTCACTCGTGTGCAGCTCATTGGCCGCGTGGACGCGCTGATACGGGGCTTTAGTGTGTGCCCCGTGTAGCACCCATCCTAATTCTGTGAGCGAGGCGATTGGTTGGTGCGGCGGACCTCTGCGAATTTGAGTGGCTATCAGGAGTCTCCAATTATCTTGTCCTATTAAGATCTTTGGGTTGCCGGAGTCATATATTAATTGCTCCTTCAGGTCTTTTAAATCTCTACAATTTGCTATATCTGCTGCACACACAGTATGTGGCCCCAAGTTTAGGCTGGCGACCGTGCGTGCTCTGAATTGCACCCTTTTCCTGTGGAGACTCTTGAGCGAAACTTTGACTCTTCGGGAGTTCGGCGAATCGAGGGTATTGTTCCCGATGGCGGTGATCTTAAAGGGGTCCAACCGCCCTGTTGCTCCAATTTGTTTGGCAATTTTCTCATCCATTAATGAGACTGTTGACCCATCATCCAGCAGGGCGTGTGTATTTACAGCTCCCGCCGGTCCAATTACTCGGACTGGTATTATTTTTAGATAGGCGTGATGCTTTGACACGGCGAATGAATTTGCAACTGTTTCCTGAGGTTCTATTTGCGTGATCTCCGTTTTCTCCTTTTTATTGTGGTGGAGAAACCTATTATGTGTCGCGGTGCATCCTTTTATACCACACTTATTGATTTTACATTTGTGTGTTTGACTTCTGTATCGTAAGCAGCGCAAACATAAATTGCTTTGTTTTGCAATATCCCATTTTTTATCGACATCTGCTTCTTTAAATTTTTTGCAGTCGGATCCGTAATGACCCTCTTTTTGGCACACACTGCATTTTGGAGACGGCTTAGTTGTTGCCGTGTGCGTTCTGTGTATTGAACGATTGTTCTGCGCCCCGTTTATGATTTCGGGAGGCGCAAATGCACTACAGAAGCGAGCTTGTTCGGTGATAAACTCGCTGAAGGAACCGAGGTCTGGTCTAGAGTCGTATTTTTCGGTATAAACTTTATACCACTGTGCCCGTATAGAATTCGGCAATTTGTCTGTGAGGTGTCGTAGCAGCTCTGCGTTGATGAGGTAATGGTCTCGTTTGAGTGCCCGTAGAGTGACGACGCTTCCCCTCACTTTGCTTGCGAATGTGCAAATATCTCTAAGCGCTTCTGTACAGCGTGGCAATCCTCGTAACTTCTCGGTTTCAGCTTGTGCAATTGAGTCTGGACGCCCAAATTGTAGCTCCAGTTCTCGCATGATCTCATCCGGCTTAGCATGCCCGATGAGTTCTGAACTAACTGTCTCCAAGGCTCTTCCCTGTAGACTTCTTCGTAGTCTTGCAGTATTTTCGATATCGTTGAAGTAGCCTCGGGTTGTTTCATAAATGGCACGGAACGATAGCCATTCGGTATGTGCTCCGCTAAAGCACGGCAGTGTCATTATAGCTTTCGACGCGGCGAAAGTATGCGACGATGCACTCTCTGGTTTTAGTTTGTCAGCGAGTGCGGCTATAGCGGATGTGAGCTCCGATATAAATGGTCGGAACCCTCTGTCTTCATTTATGACAGATGCCTGTTTAGGCTTCGTTGGCAGGGGATTCTTCGTTACGTCTGCCGGATAGGGATCCTGGTAGGTGAGCTCTGATACAGCTGGTAGGAGCTCCCTGTCTTCATCAACCTTCGATTCCTAACTAATTTTTAGTTTTCTCGGTTACATCTTCCGGATCGTGATCCTGGTAGGTGGGCTCTGATACGATTGGTAGGAGCCCACTGTCTTCAACAACCTTCGAACCATGGTTTGTGAGCTTCTTTTGCGGCTCACTGAGGTCGACAACCTCCGGGGGTGGCCTTGTGACGGTTTTGTTTAGTGGGGCCTCCCCTCCGGTGGCGACGCCTTGAGTTGGCTTTTGCTTGGCTACGGAATTTTCGAGCCAAGATCGGACGTACTCGCTTTTGGAGTGACCATCTTCATCATAGTCGTCCGAATCATCTTCTTCCTCAGCCATTTGTAAGGAAATTTGTGCGAGTTCCAATTTAATTCTCAGCACTTCTTCACGAGCCTTCAAAACTTTTTTATTGGGCCGAATAGTCCTCTTTGACTTTGTACTTTTATCTCGGTGGCCCCTGGGTGGCTCTTCGGTGCGGGAGTCTTCCCGGACTGTTGGCGGTGATGCACATCGAATGTCATCGTTGCCCTCTATATGTTTCATCTGCTTCGGTGTACCGGTTGTAGCGGCCGGCACGGGCAGGAGTACCCCCCCATCGCGGGGGCAAGGTGGCGCCTCAGCGCCCTCTGTGGTCGATGGTGAGCGTGGTGGCATCTGGTGGCGGACGGCGTCGGTATTGTCCGACGGGCCTCCTTCCAGACCGACGGTCCACGCCATGGCTCCCCTTCCTTGCGAACGAGTGATCGGCATCTTGATTCTGAAAATTCACTTTTGACTTTAATACGGTAGTGTCTATGTATCCGGTTCCGAAATACAAACGGATGAGGGATTCAGCTCGTAGGACCAGCGAATGCTGGACTCGGCTCGGAGTATAAACGGAAGAATCCGGCTCGAAGGACCAACGAATGTGCCGGACGGGCGTAACTCTCCGGAGTAAATGTTGTCGAAGATACTCCGCGAGCCGCTCACGTCCTACACCTATAGGTTCCGGAGGATACTTTCACTACCGCCTTTGTGTATGCTGTTGGAGAACTGTGGACTGAGGTTCAGAATTAAAAATGCACGATTTATAAATTAAAACAGCAAGGGAGTGGCCAGCGGTTCGACTGATTAATTAGTTGCGAAATATTATAACTATTTATTTATTGAACACGGTTGTTCAACTATGTTTGTTCACTATATATTTCAAAACACAGATTTAATTAAAACACACGGTAATATTAAAATTTCTATTCGTGTTTTCAAATTATCTATTGGTAATATCAAATATCTATTGGCAGTAACAAGTTTCTATTGGTATTTTCTAATATATCTATTGGTAATTTCGAATATCTATTGGAAGTAACAAATTTCTATTGGTAGTATCAAAAATATCTATTGGTAGTAGCTGGTTTTTTAACACTACTGACTAGCAGCTATTAATCAACTAAATTCGTTGAATTTAACACTTTTGTAACTGCGAATATCAGTTACCACTTTTTCCGTCTAGCTAACACTTTTCACTATATGTAACGGCGAAATTTCCGTTACCACTTTTTCCGGCTAGCTAACACTTTTTCACTATATGTAACTGCGAATTTTCAGTTACCACTTTTTTCAGCTATCTAACACTATTTTACTATATGCAACTGAGAATTTTCAGTTGCCACTTTTTTCGACTATGTGTAACTGCGATTTTCAGTTACGACCTTTTTCGGCTAGCTAAACTTTTTTTATTTCACTATAACTTTTCACTGTGTTCTGCTACTAGTCACTTCAGCTACTACCGGATACTACTGCTTGTTACTGGTAGTTCTTCCTACTACAATGTTACTGTGATTTGCCCCCATAAGGTAGACTTCGGCTATACTCTATAGAGAGCCGCTTGCCATTTTCCGGTTTTGCCTCTTTATTTTTAAACATTTTCATTATGTAATTTGCACAAATCGCAATTTTTCTATATAATGCTAATTTTTACACTAACACGCTAATACTATAAAATAGGCATTTTGGTCCTTTATCATTATGTGATAAGGGTTACTTAATATATTTACATTTAAAAAAGTTATTAATCAAAAGGTACCAAATTTTTATAACAAATGTGCACATTAAATCTTTAATTTTACTATATTTATCAAATGCGTTTATTTACACAAATTATCTCTTTACTATTGCAATCTATACACCATATGCTAACTAAATATCATATTTACAATTCTTTCAGAACACAAAAATATTCTTATTATTTTCATATAAACTATTGCGCAGTTAATTAACTTCTAGAAAGTTCCACGATAAGCTGCGCTGTGATTGGTCGAAATTTTATTAAATGATTAAAGTTGTTTATTATATTAACTATTATTAAAAACGACATGCTATCCAAGTATATTAAGAATTGAAAACACATTGTAAACCTATATTAATACACAATTCGCTCGATTTTGTTATTAATTTCAGTTTTTAAACAATTTAATATTCTTTCATCACTTTTTGCTTAAAGTCTTTAAACCGTCGCGAACACTTTACAAGAAGTAATTAAGTATATCTTATACAAAATAAAACACTACACTTGCTACAGATACAGCGACAGTAGACACAAAACTTTAAAAGTCGCGAGTTCGGACTTCGGATACACTATTCAAGTACTGTCGTCATAGAGCATCACGGGTCACCATCGCATCAGAGGGGAGTAACCATACGCAGGCGTTCCCCTCTTTCAAAATATATGGTCGTATGCCTTGCGAATTGATGTCCTACAAATATGCCGAAATGCTCAGTTTTTTTTTTGCTGCAAAAAGAATTCTGCCACGTCATATTTACAAAAATATTACAGAAATCTTGACGTGCGTGACGAATCGGAAACAAAACTTCTAGTCTGAACATCTCTGGACCACGAAGCCGGGACAGGCCAATAAACATCGAGGTGATTTCAAACACTAAATATGTTATAAAACCAAAATTCACGCAGGTATAACAAGTATACTTAATGTTAAGTTATACCGATAAGTACCCAACTGAGAGAGGGCGAGAAGTGCTCTTCAAACTGGGTGAGACATCATTTTATTTCTTATATATATATTTCTTATATATTTTATTAATTATATTAAATAAGTGCCTACCGTCGTCTTTGAATGCATTACGACCGGCTTCGGCCCAAAACATCAAACGTTGAACCGCATGAGAGAGTCGCAGTTCTTCACACTCTCCATTGCCAAGGTCCACGAGACGAGATATGCCCATCTAAAATAATGAAAGTTAATATGTTGTACAATATTTCAAGAAACTTCATTATTCTAAGTTAAAAGTTAAAATGTTATGAAAATAATTTATAATAGAAGTTTCATTCGTGATAGAAAAGGATTCGTGGAAAAGAGAGCACGAGAGAAGAGAACCCTAGAAATGTAGTGCTCTTGAAATTTGGCGTCCTCAGCTACCACAAGACAAAACATTTTGAGCATCTTTAGACCAACCACGGCAAAAAATTGTGGCGACGCCCATGTAATTTACACATTTGCAAGTAAAAGTTAAGTTGATTTGGTTGATGCGAAACCGAAAGCGAATATCCGTATCAATAATCTGAACTATATGGAAATCAGTATCTATTATTAATATTATGCCTTGCTATAATTTGATACGCAATTAATATTTTTAAGCTTATTGTAAGTTAATATTAAATAAAATAAATTTATTTAATTTAATATTAACTTACAATAAGTTAAAACTTATTGTAAATTAATAAATAAAACTACTATAACAAACTACAATAATTACTAAATAATTAATTACGGTAATTAATAAACTACAAATTAGTGTAATAACTACTACTATTTCACGGTTGTATTCAGTTGAAGTGACCGTTTTGTGGCGGTGTAAGATGAATATCCGTTACACCATATCGTCCCGTGATTGTCGTAAAAGGCGACAGAGGGAAACTGAAACAGGAGGTGGGCAGCACCGTCTTCTTGATTACAACTCAAAATAAAGAAAAACTACAAATGCCAACCCGGCCTCCATACGTGGCAACTATGTCAAAATCCCCCATGGGGCAATCTATGGGGAAGGCCTATATTCAGCAGTGGATTTTATAAGCTGTAATGTATGGATTCTGTTAAAATGTGATCCTTCCCCGGTCAAGCCGGCGCCATTATACATTACGGCATGGTTCTGCTAAAAACATCGAGACAACTATAGATTTCAATAGCACCATCGGTCATAAGTACTGTAGAATCACACTGTTCCTCTAAACACTTTTCACATAGGCTACGCAACAGTAGTTTACCCTAGAGTAAAATGTTAAGATGGCACACAAAGTAATATTTTGATAGTAGGATAACATCACACAGAAACATACATGTCTAAGGCACTTGTCCCACCGCCAACGGTGAACGGGAAGCGAGTAGAGCTAGAAACTAGATAAGAGTTGGCGAGCAGCGAGAAGCGAGTGTGTAGTTCCAATAGTTATGTCGCTGTAAGCGAGTGTAATCAGATCCGCACTGTAGAGTAGAGTGCGGATCTGAGTTACTCGCTTATTTAAGTGTGTGCGTGAGTTCTGACCGTCAAGCAAGCATCGCTCGCTCGCTCGCAAGTTTATCTTGGATAGTTCTTGTCTCTGCGGAAAGCTAGTGGAGAGAGAGTTCTCGCCGGCAGTGAATAGCCAGCGATGAAATATTAATAAACAGGGTTATTTTTCAAAGAGTAGCCAAATTTTAATCTTAAGTTCAAATATATAAATGATGATACACCGTTATTGCAGTTTTTGAAAATGCGAGTAAATAAGGCTTCTAATTTTATTTGAAATTATCCCAAATTGAATATGATTTATTGGCAACAATGTTTTTTCCTACCGATCGACCCTTACGAATGTGTGCGTGGACAGTAAAATAATGCAATACCACGCATTTTGAGTTTAAGAGAAAAAGGACAGAATGTTTGAGATTTTTTTTAATTAATTTTTCTTCGCCATTTGCCTATATTGCTTATTCTGAACCTTCTCAGCAAATTTGGCCGCTTATGCAAAATAACTCTGTATGTAGATATATCTTTTATTGACACGGGATCTATATCTATTGTTTGTTTCTTGAGCCGCCTTGTCGCGGCGGGGGGCCTTAGTAGCCCTGACTTGGTCACCCGCGGTGAACAAAGAGGAACCCCTTAACTGGCCCGTGGTGTAGAGCCTGTCCGAGGTGGGCACTCCGAGTGGGCATGGCGAACCCACTTCGGATATGTTTTTTTTTATAGGATAGGGTGTGTGACAAACGGGCACACAGTCCACCTGATGGTAAGTGGTTGCTGTGGCCCACAGACATCTACATTTATCCCCGTTTGCGAATCAAAATGCAGATGCGTTGTCACCCGTGAGGACTAAGATGGAATGACTCTTTTGCAGTAAAAAGAGTCTCCGGTTTAACAAATGTGTCGGTGGGCTGCGGTAATAGGGGTGTCCTCTCCCCCTACCACTGCAGCAGTGGTGGAGTCGCGGAGGACGATTAGTGTTGGTATGGCGATGCGCCACTCGCCCTATCCTATCCTCCGCGACTCTAACGGGGCCGCACCGTTGATGCGGTGGTGGTGAGGCCGCGGGGGAGAGGAGTGTCGGTATTGCGAGGCACCGCTCTCCCTACCCTCTGTGGCCAAAACTTGGTTGGCGGCGGAGCCAGAGACCAGATCCGCCGCTGGGGTCGAGAAAGCGGGTGCTACTAAGCGCTCGATTTTCCTGGCCCCATGGCGTCAGCGTATCGAATACTCGGGGGGTCCGATACGCAGATGGAGTTGGAGGCCGTAGAGGAGGACATGCCATGTGTTCCTGGTGCGCCTAGCCTGAGAGGGAGAGTGGGAGGGAGAGGTCCTTCCCCGAGAAGGGGCTGCCATGGGGCGGCCGGCGCTGGTAGGGCCGCGGATGTGTACGAAAGCGTTCCCGTGGCCCTGCCAATATGCTGCGAAGGTGGAACACCACGGGGTTTTAGTCGGTGCGAGTCCGACATAACCCGTCCTTGCCCCCGCGAGGCGGGTATGCGTAGGCATTTCCCCATGTAAAAAAAAGGATCAAATCCGTTAATGTAAACAAGTATAGAGTAATAGTGAAGAAACTTACCAGTCACCATTACATTCTTTAAAATGACAGAACTTTAGTGCATTTGGACTTTAATAACTTGTAAATATATGAGTATTAAGCTTTAACTTACTGATTGCAGTTTGCTTGGTAACAAAAGGGTCATGCGAAGAGTATAAAGAGGTAACGTGACAGCTACTCGAAGTGTATACATTCGCTCAAGCACGTGATGAATACTTGTTTCTGCTAGGTGAGCAGCTAAATTTCGTAGAGATCGCCCACGAGGTACTAGTATTAGAAGAGATAAACCGGGCGTCGCGTAATTGATTTCTATAGCCTATAAACAAAGAAACAATATCGTTGAGGGCCAAATTTTTACGCTGTTAATGAAAACAAAGAATTTATTATAATCTGAATTAAAAAAGAGACATTAAATCTAAATTGACTTAACCTTAAAAACTTTAAATTAAATTAATATGGAAGTTCAAACTTATAAATAAATTGTGTTATAATATTTTAATTTTATAAACTACACCATTATTCCCGCATAAATTTTTCATATTTTTTCCTCTAATATTAGGCACCATAAATCCATATAGCAATTTGGTTTTTATCCAGATTTTAGCACAAATATTATTACATTAATACATAATATGTTTTCTGCTTCATATATACGAATCTTAAGTAAATTCACCTGCAAACATTGATGATAATTAATATATTAAATTTAGTAGCATTTATCCTACGTTCCTTCGATTTGGATTTATGATTAAATATGGATTTTTATTCGAAATAAATTGTTTGCTGCTTACATTAGTACATAAATAGAGAGCTTAAAATATTGTCTGGCAAAAGATACAAGTGATATTTTTATCAAATAACTAGAACATGTCATGATATTTTGTATCAAATAACATGCATCATAGGGGGCGTAACACTGATATATAATTTTGATTATATTAATGCGAGAAATTTCATTCAAGTTGTAGAATCACTGCAGGTGACCATGTTTCTGTTCTCCATATATTTGACAGTTTTGATTGGATTTTATAGAGTCCATGCCGATTCATCTCTTGATGAAAGAGAAATACCTCTTCATGATGAAGCTAAACTACATAAAGATTTACTACATGACTACAATGTTGACGATCGGCCCGTTCAAGATTATAAAAATACTGTAACAGTTAAATTAAGGATTGCTCTTAAATATATCAGTTTTGATTCATTAGAAGAAACTTTCACGATGCACAGTTGGATGGCGCTGACATGGAAAGATGTGAATTTGAAATGGACCCCATCCGACTACGGTGGTATCAAGGAAATTCAGATCGAAAGTCATGAAATTTGGACGCCGCGCTTGGCTTTATTCAATGCAGACGCGTCCTTATATCAATCGGACTCTTTTTACACGACTTGTCTTTTAGCCTATGACGGGATAGTTACATGCGTGCCATCAGTAGCACATACGGGTATCTGCCGTACTTCGTTGCGTCGTTGGCCTTATGACTCGCAGAACTGCACATTGTTTTTTGGATCTTGGATGCATACCGGTGAGCAAGTTAACTTTACATTCTATCAAAAACAACCCGTGGTAACGGATGACTACCAAAATGGTCCAGGTTGGCGCTTAATGAACGTCTTAAATGAGCGTTTACCAGGGAAGTACAGTTGTTGTCCAAACACTACTTATCCAATGTTGAAGTATACATTTGTAATGAAGAGAGAGGCGGCTGGTCCAGCCGCGATTGTCGTCGTTCCTTCTATTGTCATAGTGATTCTCACATTGACCTCGTTGGTGTTGGATGTGAAAGATAATACAAGACTTTTAATGACATGTTTTAGTCTTTTCGGGCATTTCATTTTTCTTACTGAAATAGGGTACGATATCCCTAAACACAGTTCCGATACGCCTATAATACTATTATTTGTTCGTGATTCGATGATTGTAACCCTAGCGGCTATAATAGTTACGTTATTACTAATGTCATTGAGACGACGCATGCTACCACCACCGACATGGATTGTGTCCATCAACCGTCTTGTTAGTAATGGCCCTGGAAAATATGTAATATTCACTGAGTTCGATCCTAACGATACTACGGAAGTAAAAGTTCTTTCGGAAGACGGCAACAGCTCCAGTGCAAACGAAGATAGAACACGCAATGCGGCCGATTGGATTCAATTCGCAAATTTACTTAATAGTGTTGTATTCATAACTGCTCTCATTGTTTACCTCATTTTGATTATTTCATATATACCACGTGATAATTAAATCTCATTGTGTTTGTAATATATTGTATAATCTCTTAAAATACAATTTATCATCACCAACATTTAGTGCAATTTGTCTTATTGTGTAAGATTGGTTGAACAATATATTTGTAATTCACAAGAAAGTTCTTTTAACAAACCTCTGCATCCCATTCATTTAATTCGGCGTATTGCATGATATCATTAATTCGGATCATTCGCGCGGATCGATGAGGGGCGTCCACGGCGTCATGGAAGATGTGAGTGCCATTTAGAACAGTGGGGGCGGAACGCCAACGGGGTCGAATGTACATAGTTGTAAGTAGTACTGAACAAATGGCCTCAGATAATTCGTCCTCTGCAAAAGTTTCTTGCATTGCTCCCCCAGAGTCCTCTTCAATCTATGAACAACAATAAATACGACGTTATAATAAATGTTTATGTTTTATATTAGCTGCAGGTGTTCATGGACTACAGTGACCACTTATCATCAGGTGGACTATAAGTTCGTAACTGTCGCTTTAGTTTTTTATATAAAATATAATAGTCCCGGAGGAATCGGCACATGAGTACCAAAAATTATTTCACCTCAATTTTTTATGCGATGCTGTTCAAATTGTCGTACTGATGATATGAAATGCATGTTGCCATAGAACAGCTCGGTGCTATATTGTTTAAACCGATTTAATTTTTTTCAATTGCAAGACATGGTTATTTTCAAACGGATTTTGATGAAATGCAAATAAAAAAGGTCTCATGACTTTTTACGATAAAGTTAATATTTTCGGAGTTATGAATTTTTAAATGTTTGAAAAATCCAAAATTCAGATAGTTTTGACTTATTAAAAATAAATTAAGAAAATAATAAAATATAAAAGGTATTTTGTTTTAATATTTTGTGATGAAATACGAATAAAAAAGATCCTATGATTTTTTATGAAACATTTGATATTTTATAGTTATGCCAAGTACCTATCACATGTTAGGTCATGAAAGAAAACAATGCGAGTTAACGCGAAATATGTTTGGCTAACTTATATTGATGGCATGGAAAGAAACTACATTTGATTTTTAAATTTTTTACCATCCACAATTTTAAAAACTATCATGCTTTTATCTTTTCTCTTTCCCACGTAGACATTGCGTGACATTAATTATTTTTTGCAAACATGCTGTGAGGTGACGTTTACCATTCTAATGTATACATCCATCACCAAACTTCTTCCATAACCATAAACCTTCTTCGGTTGGGGTGAAAGAGCGTTGTTGTTTAAATTTTATAAAATATATAATTTAAAATACAAATACACTACACACTGAGGTCTAATCCCCTTCCCCTCCTCCGTATGTGATAGCTATTTTGTTTTTTCCTGCTGATATATATATATATATATATTCTCTACGTGTGTACAAAAAATCATATCTCTCAAACTTTTGGTCTTACGGAGATAAAAATAGGCTTATTCGGAGGACAATAATATTATCAATCGTTTACATTACGAAAAAATGGGTTCGCATACTCGTAACTTTAAAAAAAAATTATGCAAATCGGCAAATTATTTTAAATTACTGCAAAAGCAACCCTCCTGATTACCATTTTTATTTTTTTTACTAGATTGACAAATTTTGAGTTAAGCTACAATAAAAAACATTAAGTTTACAGCTGTATGTTTATTACTTTAAGAGTTATTGTTGTTTGAACGTAGGGTATGCCCAAACACAAAAGGCCGATGTCGAAACCATCTGTGGTCGAAACCATAAACAGGAAAACATTAAAAATATTTAAGTTACTTATTAGTTTTTATTTCATTGTTTTACAAAATTCACCTACAATTAATATCTAAAGCAGCTGCTCAAAGTGGCTAACTCCAGCTTGTAGGCAAGCTAAAGCTCTATGTGCCACCCGAGTTGATGAGCGCTTAATCATTTGTAAATTAGATCTTATTTCTTCAGTGACTGTCATTATTTTCATGATGAGTTCTTTCCTGTTGTTTGGAACTGTGGCGTACACCCTTTGCTTCATACAACCCCACAAAAATAATCCAAATCGTGTGAGCGAGGTAGCCACGCTACTAGACCACCATGACCGATCCACGGTGAATGGTTGTTATTTAAATAGTTTCTCACAGCTCAAGAAAAGTTACACACGTAGAGAATATCTCAAGAAAAAAAAATGGCTGTCACATAGAGGGGAAAGGGACGACTTCAGTGTATAGTGTATTTGTGTAGTTGTTATATATGTACCTATAATATCGCTAGTCCATGACCGGACGCACTGTAATATTAGTAAGGTGTGACATTTTTAAGCCCACTTTTATTCGTGCTCACAGCAGCCTCGGGCATATATTTAGAATCATATTTTAAATCAACAATGTGATTTAGTCAAACATCAACTTGTTATTTAACTAAGAAAAAAGTATATTTTATTACCATTTTATTAAGGATCCGTCGCAATACTTCTGCTGTGTCAGTTCTATTGATACGGTTGAGATGTAGCTGAAGAGCGTTTGCTATTCCGTGCTCGAACTGCGGCTGTAAGTTTGGTTTAACATCTAACGTCAGCCTCGTCGAGAAGCGAAACTTAAGGGCGTCGCTCGATTTTGGTAAAGATGAAACTATTTCGTTAAACGTGTATATCATTTCCTGAGATAAAACCAAGAATATTAATTAAACTATTTCATTATAAATATTAGTACTCCAGTGACGGCGTCAGAATATCCCCTATAATCTCACGACAGTCATAAGAGGCTACAGAGGAATACTAAACCAGGAGATGGACAGCAGTATCTTCCCGATAAGGACTAAATAATATATAACTTCGGTTGCAAAGCCGCCTGCCAAGCGTGCCAACTACGTAAAATATACCCCCCAGTAATGATATAACGAAATGGCTATGAGTCCCCGGCGGCGCCGTTGTTCCTGGCTACGGTGGCGACCATGACGTCATAAGTCGATAGATGCTGGTTGTTCGGGGAGATGTATTATGGCATTCCTTGGGTAAGGCTAATTAAGCGGTGCATTTGTGAAAGGCTGTAATAATGATGATTAATCTAAATATCATAGTAGAGATAAACGGTTATATTATTAATGCTCCAGTTTCACGTCTTTCGAGTTCTATCATCTCGGCAGATAAAAGATGTACTTATACTAAGTACTACATTAGTTATTATCTACTTAATAGACCAGTAAGAACTGGTAAGAACTTGCGAACATGCATATCAATGTGCATTAATTGCAAATCAATTGTTTGTCAATAAGATGTCAATTAATGTTATATACTAATAAGCTAATATTAGCTTAATATGTACTGTTTTATTTTTATTATAATTTGCAATTTTGATTATTATTTTTTAGTATTCTCTTATCTAATTGGAATTATTATGATATATTTTAAATTAAGAAAATCATCCATAAAAGTATATTTAATCTTTAACGGAGTTATAATGATGTATGAATATAGGTCCATCCCCGAACCAGCAAGGAATGATAGATGGAAAGTTGCGTACATTTCGAGAGACGCCAAAACCCAAAACCATTATTGTGAAAACACGTACTTATGTATACATATGCATCTTAAATAATTTGCCACTATATATACCAGATGTGGACTTTTACTGGTTGTTATTAAGAAAGAAAGATATGTATACTTTGTATAGTTACGGTTGAGGGTAGGTTATGCAATTTAAATTGTTATTACCGTGTCAGAAAGTTGAAGTCCAATACAATCTTCGATTTCTTGCCTTGTGGCATGGTCGACTTCGGAAGAAAGAGCCATTAAAGTTAACTGCAAAAATAATCCCGATTGCACAAAACTTATCCCATTTTCCCTTCGATTCACTGGGCTTATTTGCGATAGTTTTGTAAATGTAACCTGAAAGACAAAACATTTAATGCTTGGTAAGTATAATCACATACATAGTCATATTCATATGTGTGTGTGTGACCCTACCCCACAGAATACTTTTACCCTACCCAATCCATGAGTGATTTTAGGTATCGTGATAATATGATTCAGTTCATGTTATTTTTTAGAAACTAAGTAAAAAATATCCCAGCAAAAATTAAATAAAATTTAATTAAATAAGGGTAACTAACATGGCAATACAATGTGGCACAGAACAACCCAAAAGAGATATTTACTGCTGCCAATTTAAAAACTTGCTATAATTTATAACGATTAACGACATAAAAATGATTACGCGAATACTATACATTGAATGAAACTAAGGTGGGTCCGCCTAAAACGGGCCGGTTACAAATAAGGTCCAGCTCTTCAAACTTATCGGAATTAATACTTAAATCAAAATGGATATCGCGCTGCCACTCCCCAGTAACCAATCACAAAAGTGCACCGGCGTTCATTGCTTTCTCGGTGGCCATTTATTCAGTGCAAGGGTATTAGTATTCTGTGATTCAGTGGCTCTGGGTATAACTTCAGGAGCGGTCGTGACTCAATCTATAAAATATTATGATTCAATTTTGCGTTGTTTTAGTAATAAAACCGGGTCGTTATGTAATAATTCTGCAATAGTAATGTTAAAATACTTTCAGAAGGTGGATTGACGAGGTAAGTTATCAAAATTATTGCTTTTTTATCACGATTTTGTTAGGTTTTCTCAGGACATATCTAAGTGTTTAAAAAAGTCCACTTTTTGTCTCAAAATAAGGGCCGGACCTTATTAAGGGCAAGAAGCTTTAAAATAGACGTGATCAGATAATTAAATGAATTATATAAGTGTAAATAAGCAGTTGGACTAGCAAGTGGTACTTTTATGCGGTGATAACGACAGATCACCACGCTAGGCCATAGCTATCGCACAAAAATGCCACATGTCTAGACAACTTTCCTTCCTTGCACTTCAACTAATATTTAAAAAATAATCCAGACGCTTTCGAGTTTTATACTTAGCAACACATTTACCCATTCGCTTTTACGTAGTTTTATAAGATTTTATTTACGCAAATCAGTATTTTTTACAGTAGCTTTTAACATAAGTATTGTTCATACATAATATAAGTATATTGTTTCCAGTAAAGACAAAAATGGAACCTTCGCAAAAAAGAAAACGATTCTCAGGATGGTCTCTAACAGATCTTCAGGATGGTCTACATGATATGAAAAAACAGCCAAATGTCTAAGCGTGCAGCAGCTTTAAAATACCATATACTACGGCGAACGTTGAAAAATCACATAAAATCTGGATGCGTGGTGAAGAGGATGAGAAGGAAAGCTGTTTTTACCGACACACAGGAAAAGGAATTGGTAGAACGAATTAAGAAGTTTTCAAATATTAACTTTGCCTGATACCTTTAACACCAAAGTAAAACGTAAACAAATTTACTTATTTTGTGGAAAAAACAACTCCTTTTAGTGACAAAAAATCCTCTAAGATTACAGAAGTGTAATACCTAATAAGGTCCAAGTACTAAGATTGAAAAAATGACTGATTATTAACATTTTGTGATTTTCTTTACTAGAGTTAATAAAAATCTGCACACAACTACAATTTGTTTCATTTATAACTATAAAATAAATTAGTTATAACTTATATTCATTTCCTAATACTTTATAAGGGCCACGACATTAATTCATATGAATTTCCGTTTCATTATGCGAAAGCCACGAATTTAATAGTAGTTTAAAGCATTGCTTTATAAAGGTGTGATTTTACTGGTATATAACGCCTAAAATCTTGCAGTTAAATTATGGACCTTATTTAGAGCCCTAGTGCCGTATAGGGACGATAGACAAGCTTTTAAAAAACTTATTTTGTAAGTACCTCACCCTTGGTACCTTGTTTATGTATAATATTTTCTCTTCAAATATAAACAGTTTATTTGATCATGATGTTTTACAAATTAAAAGACTTCCCAAAATTGATTTATAAGGATTTCCAAAAACCCAGCTCTTATTAGATGCAATTACCTTAGTTTTACAGATTTTATTGCGTTTTAGTAAGTTATTTTTTATTCCCGACGTTTCGAGTACTTACTTTACGGCCCATAATCACGGGGGAGTCTGATGTAGTTAACCACGGCTACTTTCATTTTAAAATTATTGTTATGAGCTTGGGGTTCGAGACAATTAAAAACTGCCGATTGAATTACCAAAATTGACACTTTAATTACACAACACTAATTACAATCTAAAATCACACTAATAATAAAACACAGTTCGCCGTTATTTCGCTTCGAAGTATTCTCTTGTATCGCCAATTCAATACTGCCTCGGTCGTGGTCTATACCGGCCTTATATAGGGCCTCAGATAGTTTCCAGAATCTTCTACTGTAGCGACATCTAGAATGTTCGAGTACATATCGGTCCCGAAATTTCTGGAAGGATCTTGACTCTCCTAGTTCTGCTACTCGACACTAGAGGGCGCTAGTGTAACTAGTGTTGCCATGTACAAGACATTAATAGTGGCGCGCAATATTTTCATTTACTCGACACTAGAGGGCACTAGTGTAACTAGTGTTGCCATGTACAAAACATTAATAGTGGCGCGCAACACTGCCCCCTCCTAAGACATGCTCGTCCCGAGCATTATTGGCCACATAATAACGCGCCAGTCGATCCACATGGACAATCTTAGGAGTACCTCTGGCACCTTTCTGTATCCGGTAGGTTACATCATTGATCCTTGTCACAATCCGGTACGGTCCGTCCCATTTAGCTTGAAGCTTAGGAGATTTCCCTTTGCTGCGAACTGGATTGTGTAACCACAGTAGTGAACCTTCATCAAACCTCTTGTTGTTCATTTTGCGGTCATACCGTGTTTTCATCTTCTCAGACGTTTGCTGGCCCGTCTGTCTGACGTGCTCATAAATGTCATTCATTTTGTCCCGCAAGTCATTTGCATAATCGGTTATACTGCGTGGGGCATCAGGTGGTATTCCGGTGATCAGGTCTGCAGGCAGCCGTAATTCTCTCCCAAAGTTTGCGAAAGCTGGCGTCACTGACGTACTTTCGTGAACAGCGCTTCGATATGACAACAAAAACGGTTGTATGTGCCTGTCCCAGTCTCGTTGCCGTTTTTCCACAACTTTTGCCAGGTACCTTTCCAATGTCTGATTAAATCGTTCTACCATTCCATCAGATTGTGGGTGGTAAGAAGTTGTTCGTGTTTTATGAGTACCCATAACTCTGCAAGTTTCCTGGAATATTTGAGACTCGAAATTCCTTCCTTGATCGCTGTGAATCTCTAAAGGTACTCCAAAACGACAGAAGACTTCATGAACTAGTTTATCTGCAATTGTTGAAGCTTCTTGATTTGGAATGGCGAAGACTTCTGGCCACTTAGTGAAGTAATCCATCACAACCATGAAATACTTGTTACCACTTTCACTTTCCGGAAACGGCCCCGCAACGTCAATGGCTATCCTCTCCCATGGTGCACCAACATTGTACAATTTCAATGCGCCTCTACTACGAATTTGAGGTCCCTTTACAGCCGCAGGATTGGTGCCGCAAATGTACAAGTTACATTTGCGGCACCAATCCTCAACATCGTGACGATAGTGGACCCAGTAAAACCGTTCTCGGATTTTCAGTAGAGTTCGTTTAACTCCCAGGTGGCCTCCTGAACAACCACTATGGTACAGCTGTAGAACATCCGGTACTTTAGCCTTAGGGACAACCATTTGCAAATGACAACTGTCTCCCCGACCATTTTCCCATTTACGGCACAGGACTCCATCCTGAATCAGCAAGCTGTCCCATTGGGCCCAATAGCTTTTCGTGGTCGAACTCATTGCTGAGACGTCGCTCCACTTGGGCTTAGGAGCACTGGCCTTCATCCATTCCAGAATCGGCTTAATATCCGAATCTTCCTGCTGTGCATGTTGTAGGCTGTCCTTCCACTCATTGCTGAGCTGGTCTGTCCTGAGCATCCTCACAGATACCACTTCCTTACCCTCTTGCCTAACACAATGCTTGCAATCTTCAGGGCAAGGTCTTCTTGACAATGCATCTGCATTGCCATGAGATTTCCCGCTGCGATTTTCGATCACAAAGTCGTATTCCTGCAGTAGTTCAATCCATCTCGCAACTTGTCCTTCCGGATTTTTGAACTGCAATAGCCATTTCAGTGCAGTATGGTCAGTTCGTAAGTGGAATTTCCGCCCTAGAAGATATTTGCTAAAATGCTGCAAGGACTTTACCACAGCAAGCAATTCCGTCTTGTGACACAATAGTTCCTTTCCGGCTTTGACAACGACTTGCTGAAGTAAGCTATCACAATCTCTTGATCACGATTCCGTTGAGACAACACACCGCCAAGTCCTTGTGCAGAGGTTTGGCTAATTCTGCAAAGTTCTTCACAAATCGCCGATAGTAAGAGCACAAACCCAAAAATGCTCTAACCTGTGTCTTGTCTTTTGAAATCGGCCACTCCTTGACAGCGGCAACTTTCTCTGGATCCGTGCGGATACCTTCTTCCGACACTACATACCCCAAAAAACTAACTTGCCGTTTGAATAGTGAGCACTTCTTCGGACTCAACTTGAGGTTGGCACTCTGGATCTTCATGAGCACGCGTTCCAGGTTTTGCAGATGTTCCTCAAACGTACGGCCTACGATGATGATGTCATCCAAGTAGACCAGACAGGCATCTCCAATTAGCTCGGTAAGTACAAGCTCCATCAATCTTTCAAACGTTGCTGGAGCATTGCACAATCCAAACGGCATGACTTTAAATTGCCACAGACCCTTTCCTGTGGAGAATGCAGTTTTTTCCTTGTCCTTAGGGTCAATTTCAACCTGCCAGTAGCCACTTTTCAGGTCCAGCGTACTAAACCACTTTACGCCTGTGAGCATGTCCAGCGTGTCATCAATTCTAGGCAAGGGATAGCTGTCCTTCTTCGTAACGTCGT